GGCGCAGGACAGGGAATCAACTGGGAGCTGTGTAGCGTCCCCCTTAGCAGAAAAACTGAGTGCCGCATCCCTTCCCGCCAGTCCAGCAGTAGCCCCTGCAAAACAAGGTGCAAAAATCCCTGTAATTTGCCTGCAGTGGGTGGTCAAGACCCAGAGACGGTCAGCTCTGCGGGCATGTCCCAAAGCTGCAGGTGATGCCCTGTGATGCTCATTCCTGGGCGAGTGCAGCGATGTGTCTTTTGCCAGGCTTTATCTTGGCCCAGATGAAGCCCATCCAAACCTGGTGACAGACAGTTCTGGGGCTCACTGGGGGCCCGAAACCCGTGGAGGATACGGGGCTGTGGGTAGAGTGGCAGTGCAGCATGCAGAACCTGGCCAGGAGTTTGGGACTGGGGCTTACAGCTCATGTTACTTGCATCATGAAGCCTTTTTTTTTTTTTTTTTTTTTTTTTTTCCTTTGGTTTGGCTAAAACCAAACAGAAAAAGTGATTGATGCTGGGGGAGGGGGTGTGGGGAAGGAAAAATCCATTTCCATCCTGAGAACTGGGCACAGCCAGTTCCCACATCTGCTCCCCTGGCCAGGGCTCAACCGTGCAGCCTGTGCCGGCGAGCACAGCTGCCTCCTAACATGGCAATGTTGTGGCCCTGGTTCCCTCAATGCAGGCTGGCTGGGGTCCCACAGGGTCGGCAGGGTAGGGAGCCTTGGGGGGGAGTGGGTGCGGGGAAGCACGGGCTGGTGTGGAGCTCCTCATACCCTGCCGGGGCTCGGGAAGGGTGGAGGCCCCGCAGCACATAAGCAAGCAAGGGCTTGGTCGCTGCCACATCACACCCAGGGCTCCCGGCCAGGCCCGGCGGCTCCAGCGGAGGCCGTGAAGGGGGCAGAGCTCCCTGCCCTGCACCTGCGTTTGCCACGGGCTGTGAAGAGCAATGGTAAGCCGGAGGTGCCCCAGGTGGGTTGGGAGAAGGGAGACCAGCCCTCGACCCGCCCCCACGTTGGCCCCTCTCTGGGAGAACTGCCCCTAAACTCACGCTCCGTCTCTCCCCATAACCCACAGGGTAGCTGAAAAGGAGCCTATCAACAAGATGTCACTCCACAACCTGGCCACAGTCTTCGGGCCGACACTGCTGAGACCCTCAGAGGGGGAGAGCAAGGGACACCTCACCCTGGCCTCCGACATCTGGTCCCACGATGTGATGGCCCAGGTAAGAGCCGTGCTGGCAGCGGGGGGCCACAGCCCACACCAGCACCCCTGGTGGGGGGAGTGGAGGGATTTTTTACCTGCCTATCTGGGTAGATTTGTCACTCTTTGCTGGATGTGGCTGCACAGGGACAAGATGGGAGGTGGCGGCTCTGCCCCTTTCTGGCCTAACACCCCCCCCATTTGCCTACTACAGGTCCAGGTCCTTCTCTACTACCTGCAGCATCCTCCCATCTCCTTCACTGAGCTGAAACGCAACACACTTTACTTCTCCACGGACGTGTAGCCTGCAGGGTGAAGGCACCAGCTGCAAACACTCCCAGTTCCCTGCTGGGGGACACGGACTGGATCGTAGCCCCCCAGGGAGACCGGCCCGGACCCAGGATGGTGCCGCCTGCAGCTCCTGTACAATCGCCTACCAGTGGCCCGGTCCCACCCCAGGCGCCGTGCCTCTCTGTAAAGTAGTCGTGTCTTATGTCCCTTCTTGTGTTCAAGAATTGTTTTTATGTATATTTGTTCAACGGAAGAGGTAGTGACTGACAAGGGCTGTGGACACAGGCTTCCCCCTTGGCTAGTTTTCTCCTGGACTCCTGTCTGCCCGCTCACTCCTACCAGGCAGCCCCTTGTCTTGCCCAGCTCGAAGCCCGCAGCGTCTCATGAGTGCCTGTTCCGCTGCCCGGCTCCCCTGCTCCACGCCTGCATGTGCAGCACCGGCTCGCTTCAGAGGCTGGGAGCTCACGGGCTTCCCTCCCTGGTGACGGTGACGACCAGCTCAGCTTTGGCTTGCTGCCTGCGCAAACGTTGGACCCCATGCCTGGATTCTGCCCTGGCCCAAGCAAACCTGCGACCACGAGAGCGTAGGAGCAGGGTGCTGCTTCCACCTCACCACGTCTCTTCTGGGTGCTTTCAGGCCAGTCCCCTGAACAGCCCTTATCCTGTGCTTTGCCTGTGTGCACGTAGCGTGGTGGTTACTTCCCTCGCTGTACCTCGCCTCCAAGTAGCGTTTTGGGGTAACTCATCACACAAGGCTGGAGCGAGAGGTGGTGTGCTGGTCTCAATCCACGACAGGTTTGAGGGATGGCCAGCCAGTTGGGTCTGTTTCCTCCGCCACAGGCTGACCCCAGGTCTGTGCTCTGGCACCAATGGGGTCCCATCAGGGCACACGGATCCCACAATTTCCCCAACAAGCCATGGCAGTACGCCTGTATCTCTGCCGTAGCGAGGCACACACACCCCAGTCAGCCCAGTGTTGCTGCGAGGGTTGCTGATGCCGGCTGCGCCCTGTGGCAGAGCCTGCCGGGGCAGCGGGTGTTCCTGCCATGGCCATGAGAACGAGGAGGTTTTTGTTTCCCTCCTTGGCTGCCCCAGGCAAATGGCAGCACACGGCCCTGCTCTGTGCCAGCCAGGCTGCCAGAGGCAAGTGCTCTGCGGCAACTGGATGGTGACCCAGACTGGAAACCAGTGCAGAGGGATGGGAGGAGGAAAGACTTCGTGGCCCTCGCTACTGAAGGCAGAAGTGCTTCGTTTTATTTTCTCACAAAGCAGTTGTGCTGGGTTAGCTTTGCCCAGCCAGCTCAGGTCTGTTTTAGTTAGTGGCTCCAGTTCTTGAGCCCCAGGCTGATGGCTGGGGTTGTCACACCATGTCCCAAGGCAGGACAGCCGCACGCTTGCGCTCACTGCCAGGCTGTGCTCCAGCCACCCGAGTGCCTGGCTCCCAGTATGTCCCCCACCCTCCCACACTCACAGGTAGGTGCTGGTACCTGTTGGGACACGAAACCTTTCGCTCTGTGAGCCGAGTCCGTGTTCTCGTGGGAAAAGCCCCCCCTCCCCGATCGCGTTGGCCCCGTGCTCTCCTGTGCCAAATGGAGATGGATGAGAAGTGACCAAGCGTAGCCCTGCTAACAGCGGCGTTGCCTTTACCTTCCCGACTAACAGACTGTTCCCGGTAGAGCCCGGCTGACTGCCACCGATGCACCAGGTATGTCCTAAGCCCACCTCCCCAGGGAAGGCAGCACCTGCCAGCCCTGCACCAGCAAAGCAACTAAAGGAGGGGAGGTCTTTCAGTCCCCCTCCAAAGGGCTCACACTCCAGACCCTGCTCCTCTTGACTACCAGCTAAACAGAAGGGAAACAGCATTGCAGAAAATAACCAGGCGTCTGTCTATGCCCTGGACCCAGTAAGGAGGCCGAGTTTTAGATCTGACTGCACAACAGATCCCTCTGTGTGTGTCTGATTTGTTACATGTGTCCAAGTCTCTGTCCACGATACTGTCGTTCCAGATGGAGACTCTGTACAGCCAAATCCCCCCTGCGACAATGGCTGGAGGCCCGGTCCACACAGCCCCAGCACAACAGGCTGCGGCCATCCCCGTGACTGGCTTTTGCTTGTCCCTACAGGAAGGAAGAGAGGGGGGTGGACTCTTGCAGCTACAGGTAGAATAGAACTGTTAATTAATATTTGACTTTCAAAAGTTGTTAAGGATATATTTTTGTTTGTGTTCTGTTTCAATTTCTGTAGATTATAAACTTTAAATGGCTGTAAACCATGTGAGGAGAAAAAAAAAATGTTAATAAAAATGCAAAGCCCCAACATTTGCACAAAAGGAGCCTTGTGGTGTTGCTGTTTGCACTAACTGATCACCTTGGCATCACAGCTTCTTTTTCTATTGTGGAAATCTCTCTCGTTGCACTTCAAGCCAGTGGTATAAGCACAGGCATTGTGCCAGGCAATCTTTTAAGAGACATCTTATGGTTTGGGCTACATCCTTGCATTTCAGTGCATTCTGGAGGAAAAAACCTGGACTGTCTGGAGCCAGCCTGGATTCAGCCCAGAATTACTCAAGCTTAAAATTCAGCTGACTTGCACAGCTCCTGGCCTGAGGATACTGAACAGGCACAGCAAGGGACATCAGGCGATCTGGAAACCTCATCTGATAGATCACATGGTGCTGTCTCCCCACTTCTTTCCATGTGGGAATGGGAAACAATATGCCTCCAGTCTGGCCACTGCCCACAGTATCAGCCAAACCACCCTGCTAGTATTGCACTTCCAGGTAAGCTAAGTGCTGTCACTGTTATAGGATATCAAATCGTGGATGCAAAGGAGGGGAAGTGGGTGGGAGAAGCCCTATTAGGTGTGTGCACTCCATCTGAAATCCCACTGCCTCAAAAAGATGAGGGTGGGTGTTTGCCCTTGCGGAGTGGCTCAGTGAAAGTTAAAATGAGCCTGAACTATTCTGAGTATAAAAATGACCCTTGAGGTCTGCAAACAGAGCTTGGTTAGAAGAGTGAGAGGGCTAATATGAATGCAAGTCAAAAAGGGAGCAGCTCCATGAGCTAATGAACAGGTGCTTAGAATTCAGTACCAATGTTCTGCAGAAATAACACTTCCCGCAGTGTACGACTGGAGCACTCAGAAGTGTTTCGGGGATGTGATGGGAAGCAGACTGTGCTAAGTGAACACCTAGTTATCTGTCTAACAGTGGTTTATTCTCACAACTCTGCTTTCTAGTCTCACTATCGAACTGCTGGAACTAATGGTGTGAGCCTGTGGCAGTTAAAGCAGTAGCAAGATTATTTGTACTCCCACAGCGAGGTTAAATCAGGCTAGCCAAGTGGCTACACAGAATTATACTTCTGCAACAACCTCTTTTTTTTTCCCCTTAAACTGTTTTGTTCATCTGCCAGTAACCACATGGTTCTAAGGCTAAGGATTTCTTTTTTGCTTTTCCCTTTAAGACATGGTAAAGAAATCTGGCTCTCATCTCTGTACTTGAAATAAGACAAGTTGTACAGATGGTGGTTTGTCTTCAGCTGGTATTTTAAGAAAAGCCTGGAACAAACTTATTTCTCCACAGGATCTTACCTCTCCCCAACAGAGTAGCAAGCTGCAAACTGATAACTGTTAAACACTTGAGGCACATTCAAATACACAGTAACCTAAATCACTGCATTTCTTTTTGAAGATTGTCCTCCTGTCTCTTTTGATGCTAGCAACAGCCTTAATCAAAATCAGACCCAAAGGATCGAAAAAGCTCAGAGTCCAGGCTTGTTTCCTGGAAACTGACAGTCAGCTGATCCATCTTGGAGATACTGCTCACTGTGCCTGGCTCCATCCTCGCGTACTCCCACAAGTCTGCCTGAAGCAGCACGCCAGGGCTCAGAGCCAGATTATTGTTAGTCATTCAGGAAAAGCGGCCAACACCATCCAGCTTGCACTGGTCAGGACTCCAAAGGCAGTGGAAAGGTAACCCTGATGGTTCTTCTGACGTGATGCAGGCTCTTAGCAGCAGCACTGGAACTAAAGGGAAACTTGCTCCCAAGGGATCCCGCTGTTACCGTAGATAGTAATCAATTGCAGCGGAGAAAGCAGCAAATCCACCACAGCCGATAACCCCTGCCTTCAAACCAGCTGCAATGCAAAAAGGGTGGGAATGAGACAAAATAGGAGATATTTTTCTTCCCAGGAACTAGCTTACACTGTGCTGGCTTGAAGAGCTTACACCTGCAGGAACCTGGTGGTCTGCTACCAGGGAACACTGGCACTACCACTATCCAAGGTGAGGGGGGGAACCTGGCACACACTGGATTTAAAACTACCATGGCTGGACTAGCCCAGCACACTGGCTGGGTGCTGTGTTGCAAAGTCTCCCTGCAAGGGACAGAAGAGAAAATGGCAGTTTGCTGACTTCAGTGCGCTCTGAACTGAGCGCTGCAAGTGGCTTTGCTGTTGGACTAAGGAGGGATAGGAAGAGCAGCTACTGCTGTGAAAGCTCTAAGAAGGTTAGGTCAGTGGCAGACACAACAAGCTCAGTTAGAAGCACTTTCAGTAGCACTTTATTTTCTTCTATGGTCTGTGGACAGTTTTTTTTCTTAAGGAGAGGTGAGAGAATGATATTTCTGATGAGCAGAGCAGCTCTCTTCCTACTTGAGGCTTTTCTCCAGATGTTGTTAGCACTCAAGGCTTTCCAGAGTCCCTACTAGTGCCTGCTGGACTAAAATCCCAGTGCTCCAGTTCTTTTACAGCTTTTACAGCTGTTTAAATTGATACGTGAGAAAGAAGGAAAGCATTTTACACACTGTGCAAATTAACAGCTACTGCCAGTGAAAAAGTATATAGAAGTACAGCTCTGTTAACACAAGAGCTGTAGTTTCAGAGAGTTTTTGATTCCATCTCCACGACATGACAGAAGAGTGTGGATAGCTAACACCATTTCTTGATTTTTTTTTTTCAATTCGATTCTGTTGATTCTCCTCCAATCTCACTGTCCTGTATGATCAACCACTCGCTACCCACCCATACCTTTCAAGCTGACAGGAAAGCAATAGAGTGTGCAGTTCTGCCAGTCTGGAGTACACTCTTGTGCTGACATCGCCATAACTCCATGCAGAGATTTGTAGGTGTGTGTTCCATTAAAAACACTGCATACTGCATAACTAAATTAGTCTTATCACAGAAATAATTCCTAGCAGGCACTACCAACCTCTGAAGCCGATTGCTCCTCCGGTGATGCAGCCGCTAATAACACTATTCTTCCAGTCTGACTTTCCACGATACTGTGGAATTAAAAAACAGAGTCAATAAGTAAATACAGAATAAACACTTGGCATCCGTACTAATACCAAAAAAGATTAAGTGACCTTCCAGCCCCTTCACAGCTGTGGATGTTTTCCCCTCTACTCTCAGCAGATGGCCCCCTGCACTCTCAAACGTTAAGACTTGCAGGGCCAGAAGAGGAAGGAACGGGTCACCAGATGTAAGACAAATCCATATGGTGCAATGCAGTGCTATGGCAAAGATTCCCAGGTGAGCCGATACAGCCCCCAGAACGCAGCACTCTGCACTAGCACCAGCTCAGAGATTTTAAAGGCACTTACAACTACCTAAGCGCAGCACTGAGCCTTGCCATGAAGCCTGGTTCTCAGCACAGACAGGAGCCACAGCACCTTGCTGACAAAGATGTACTATTTCCATAGCCAGAGCACACTAGTTTTTCATCAATGCAAAGATCTCTTTGTTCCGCTCTATTGTGCAAGCAGATACACTTTTCTTCTTAGTTAAGAACTAATTGTGTCTTTCAATTAAAAGGCAGTACTCAAATTCATAACTGGCCAATTTTCCTATTTAAGAACATGGATGATAGATTTACCACTGAGCTGCACAAGGACATTTCTTGCTGTAGGGGCAAAGGAAAATAGGCCTGTTACTTAAGAACTTTCATCAAAGGATCCCTTCCTGCATATGGATTTCTTAGATGCTCAAATTACTATGTTGCAACTCGCAGGTGAATGTTTCAAAGTAACAACAAGTACTTGTAGCTAGGGTTTTAAAAAGTAATGCCTATACTTGTCAATACATTCAGGACTTAAACTGAAAAGGGCTTCGCTATTGGATGTTCTTCTGCTCATTCTGTCAGAGAACAGCACTTCTGAAGACAGGTTTCAAGGCTGAAAGGCTTTGATGCCCAAAGGAAACATAAAAAACTAGCCTACTCCCTTGCTCTATTACAAAGGGGATATGCATACTTATTTGGATGCAGTAAAAGAGATTATTAAGTGTACAAGAAAACATTTCATAATGCTTAAGAAGTTATTACTCACAGATTCTACCACACATTCAGTGCAGGAGAACATAGCACCCACAATGGCAAAGTTCTTCGCGTAGGATATGCCTCGCTGCCCCATATCCTTGAGGACCTCTTTTGCAGTTGGTGTGCGATATGGATCCTTGGGATCAAACCCAACGTTGGTGTCAATGCCAGCTGTGAAGACACCAAACGCACCTCCTAGAACAAATCCTGTAAAAGACAAACAGTATAAAATGAACCTTGGCTGGATTCAAGCAGCATGTTCTCCACAGGCACCAGAGCACCGCTGCTCCTGCTGTCAACGCTGCAGCGTGGAATGGGCAGTGCAAGCACACAGCAGCCTGTCTCTTGATCCTACAGACACTGCTGCACACAGACTGTGCTGAGGAAAGGCTGTGAGCGACTCTTCTTTTGCAAGGGAGAAAAACAGACGGGGATCCCTCCCTGGGACCTGTGACAGACACTGGAGAAGGCTTAGAGGAAGGAAAATGAAACACGGGCATCCCTGTGCTCCAACCTCTTCTCCATCCACACCTTTCCCGAGGTTCCGGGGATCCCCTCCGCTGATAGTTGCCCCGATCACCGCTCCCCCTCAACGCCCCGTCCCTCCAGCCTCCCCGGGCTCCCTCAACTACCCCCCGCCGCACCTCCCACGCAGGCCAGCGCCGCTTTGAAGGCGCAGCTCTCCATGGCCCGCTCCACCATCTTCTGTTCCTCGCTTTTAGGCGGGCTGGGGATGCCGCCGAGAGCGGCGGGGTCCCAGGCGCGGGGCCGCCGCTGCTCGCCCACCAGATGCTGCAGCAGCAGGCTGTACTGCAGCGGCGGGGGAGGCGGCTCCGGGCCACCCGGAGCGGAAGGCGGCGGCACCGCCGCCATGACCGGCCTCGGCCACCCGGCCCCTTCGAGGCGCCGGTAACGCGGCTCCCGGAAGCGGTGGTGGCGCGCGGGGGCTCACGGGAGCTGTAGTTCCGCTGGGGGGAGGGGGAGGGGGAGGCCGCCGCGCTGTGACTACGTATCCCAGCGTGCCCGGCGGCAGCGCCCTCCCTGAGAACTACAACTCCCAGCAGGCTCCGCGGGGCGTCTATCGGGGTTGGCGGTCGCTTGGGGCGGAGGGGGACTACATTACCCGGCGAGCTGCGCGTTGGCCTCCTGGCGGCCGTTAGCCGCGCTGCAGGTGAGGTGAGGGCTCCGGCTGCCGGAGCATCTTCGAGAGCGGTGGCGGCGGCAGGTGAGAGCGGCTCGGGCTCGGGCTCTGGCTCCCGTTGCGGCTCCGGTTCCGGCTGGGGCTGGCCGGCGGATTCGCTTGGGGCAGCCCCAGGCTCGGGGGAGAGGGCTGAGGTGTCGCAGTGCGGGACCGGGTCCCTCTGCACTGGCTGAGGTGCGGGGAGGGAGCGGGAAGCTCTGAGGTGTAGCGGCGGCGTCCCGTTCCCGCCCCCCCCCTCCCCCCCCCCCGCTTCTTCCCGCCGTTCCCCGCCGCTGACTTCTGGTTGCGCTGGTGTCTGAGGGGCAACAGGTCCCGCGACGGGGCGGGCGGTTGCGGTCTCTCCCCACTCCAACTCTCAAGTGGCCGGGTCGAGGGCAGCCCTCCGGTGAATTACCGGGATGGGTACCGAGACCAGCTCCTGCCGAAGCCCTCGCCCCGCGGAGGGCGGTTCAGGCTGCCCGGTGTACGTGTGGGGAGGCTGGAGCCCGCGCAGCCCGCGGTTTGCCCCAACCGCCTTCGAGCGTCTTCTGAGGTGAGAGCTGACGAGCCTCCGTGTGCGAGCTCCTAGTCAGAGCTCAAAAAAATATATCTCCGCTCTTCCGTGTTTTCCACAGCCTAGGTGAAAACTCTAGAGTATCAGGCCACCTCCGGTAGCTTTTTCGAGGAAACCCTGGCTGCCTCTGGCGTAAAGCGGCAGTTTTACTTCAGGACCTGTGTATCTCAAAAGGGCTTAGAGAATAACCAAAATCTGTCTTTCCATTGCAAAATGCGAACTTAGCTTGTGTCAAATCACGTAGAAACCTTGGCTCTTCTGTGCTTGTTCTGTTTGATGATGAGGTGAGAAATGGTGCTTTCCACCCTCAGTAAACAAGATAATATGAATATTAGGAATCTTCTGTGTGCTTTGCTTGTGTTTCATTTCCTTTAGCCTGTTCTCCTTTCTTGTTCTTGTGGACTAGAACTGGTTTTCTGTTCAGGTCAGTATAAGTGAAGATAGGTATGCCTTAAAAATAGCATTCTTGACTTATTTTTTGATCTTTTTCTATTTTAATTTTAAAAGTTACCCATAGGTTTTTAACCCTTGAGAAATAGCTGCAATAGTTTCAATAGTATGCTTCGAAGTAGTGTATTTCAATAATTGAAAATTTTTTAAACGATTTAATCATTGTTTTTAAACAATTAATTATGAAATCTTCCTGATACCCTGGAATGCAACTCTTTAGAGATCATGAAAGATCATGAAGTAATCACATTTTTTTTTTTTTTGTTTAATCCTTTGCACTTTATCTTGCTTCTCTCTTAGTTTAGGACTGGATCCATAGGTTTAAACAACAATTTAAATTTATGGGTTTACCACTTCAAATGTTTCATTATACGAAGTTTGTTTTCAGCAACTTTCCTCTTAAATTCCACTGCCCTCTACTGGCTGGATCAGTAGGATCCACCTGTCCAGTGCTCTTCCCTCTCCACACTTCAACTCCCTTTTTTGTTTGTTTGTTGATTTTCTTTTTTTTTATTATTATTATTTTATTAAGGTCAGAAACTGTTGAAAAGCATACTGGTAAAATCTACTAAGTCAGTATCTTTACAAGGTAGAGAAGTTTGCTGGCAGGATGATATCCCTAAGGAACCCAGAACTTTAGATTTCAATCTTCTCCTTGATGCAAAATAACCTAGTTGAACTGATCTTGAAGTCACACTGCAAAGCCTATTTTCCAAAGGCATAAAGGGAAAAAAAGGTATGTTGGATTTGGAATCTGAGCACTGAGAGTTTACATGTATAGCTGGAATATTATTTTTACTTTCTTTCCTCTGTTCCCAGGTTTTGGAGAAAATGAAGGGTTACTGTTTGTAAATATAATATATTTGTTTATAAATATGTTATTAATTATGTAAAATAATTGTATTTATTAATATGAATGTATAAATGTTATGTTTTTCCCCCTTAGGTGTTTAGTTTTCTTCTTTTTCCATTCACGCTGTTTTGTGTTCTACATATGAACAAATACATGTGCTTGAGTATTTGAGTAATCTCATCTGCCTGAACAGATTTTTCCTGTGAGCGAAATCAGATGGGGAATTAAGACTTGGGGCGTGAATCTGAGAGTTCAACACATCTTTGATAAATAAGTTGCTCACATGAAACTTTCAGCTGTTTCTTTTTCATAAAACTCTGAACCTTGTTATTGCAGATGTGTGTAGCTGATGTGTTTGATCCTTTTTCTTCATCACACTCTTACTGTCTGAGTGCTGTCCCTGAAATCACACTTTCATCTTGGAGCTGTCAAGTCCAGTGTAAAAGCTTAGGCTATTTTTAGCTTTGCCTAGTCCCAGATGAAATACTTTATTTTCGTGTGAGTGTGCCTCTTTCCTGAGTGATGACAGCATTAGGTGCAGATAATCATGAGGTTTTTCTACATCCTGCCATGGACACAATGCTCCAACGTGCTCAGTGTCTGTTTCAGCAGAGGGCAGCACATGGGGTTATTAAATAATTGCATTTTACTTGACCTTTACAGTGACTCAGTCTTTCTCCCACACTTCAGTATGCTCCAGACAGGATAAACCTTGGAAATAATGTGGTTTTTGTGTCTGAAATCCCGTTTTTGCATATGTCTCCTAGTTGTAGAGCTCCCAGGTTTTGAATAGTATTTGACTGTAATTTTTGGCATTGCTGTTTTAAAAAAAAAAAGTTTTCACAGCACTCTGGTAAAGCTGCCAGTTCCAAGGTCTTTTCTGAAGTTATCTAACTGGGCAGGAAGGGGCTGAAGGTAGAAGTAATTCTTTTTGCCTCATGCCTACCTGTCTAAACCTTTTTTCCCTTACCAGAACTGTGATGATCTAGGGGAATGAAAGGAATAGTGGATAAATTAGTGGATATTCTAATGAAAAAAGGAAAAGCTTTCTGTCACACCACCAACAGAATAAAGTATGGCTGCTTTGCAGTTGGTCACACTGCCAACCTTGCCTCTTATGTAGCAAAGAGACTTCCAGCGGCTACAAAAGAGCTTTGGGACCTGCTGGGCTCTGATTCTGACAGCAACACTTAATCTTTTAATTCTATAGTCTCCTTATATATATATCCAGTCTGATGCTTTCCTACTTCTCATTCAGGTTGTAAATGTAGGGGTTTTTGTTTATTTAAAAAATTTTAGATTTGAAAGGGTATTGGAGAAGTGCTTTGTGAAATATAGCTAAATTCAGTGAAGGAAAGTTGCTTTAACTTCTGTACTTGGCTTATATGAGGTTAACCAATTTATTTGCTTGAGAGTAAAGTTATTTTTTTCTTCTGAGGTAGCAAGGCTTTCCATGTTGGAGAATACTGCCCCTACCATGGCAAACAGCTAAAGTACTGAAAAAAGGCTAGATTGTAGCTAGATGGCAGATATATGGGAGTTAAAACTGAAAAGGCATCCTGACTCACTGTTTTTTTTTTTTGATTTTTTTTTTTCCTCTAGGTCAATATAAGATAGACTGCAGAGAGACCTATTTCAATGAAATGTCATTTTAGGACCATCAGACTTGTTCCTTGTGACTGTTCTGTAACTCTGAGAAGAGCAGGATGTGGGTTTTCAAGATGATTTGATCCTGCCTGCTCTCTTTAACGTTTTATATCTCAAAGTGCATGCCCCTTTTAAAAGTAAGGTGGTTTCTTTGTGTTTGTCCTGCTTCAGCAAGTTACTCCTTCCCGTCTTCACAATTTCCCTAATACTATACATACTTATGTTTTCACCTATGAAATTCGAAATGCACTTGTGTTGTAACTCATGGTCTAAAAAAAGATCTGTATAAAGTTTCAGACATCATCATCTCCCAGGGATGTTAGCTGTTGCTATAGAAGCCTAAATTCTCTTTTGAGAGACCTTTCCAATATAAAGAAGTTGATACTGGGGGAAAGTTGTCATGGAAATATGCAGCCAAAAGAGAAGGGAAATCTCAATTTGATGACTGTTACATAGGCTTAGCGAACTTGGTGAAGTGGCTTCATATCTAGAGATCTGATTCTGCAGATTATCTTCGTTACATTCCAGTGGACTGGAACGCTACAGACTAGAACCTAAAGAAATAAATTATTTAGCATTTATATAACAAAAGATACCTCTTCCACTCAGTGACCTTCATATTTGTCCAGATTAAAATTTCCTTACTGCATAATATGATCTAAAAAGCAATATTGCGACAGTATTCCTTAAGCAACCCAACCCTCCGGATGAGGAGGCGAGGTCCTTTTTGAGCCAAGTCTGTGGCTGCATTGCAGGAATGGGGCTCATCGGTTCCCTGGTGTCAGGCCAGTGGGGTGGGTGCAGAGAGTGGTGTTTTCCACAGCTGCCACTGGTGTTGCTCTGCTGGAAGCATTCCCTCCAGGTGATGTTGGTAGGCCAGGGAATTTCCACTAGCCTGTTTCTAATGTGGGATGAGCTGTAGCACAGCTTTTTATTATACTTCTGGCAGTGACTGCTCTGAAATGATTTATAGAGCTACCACTATTGAAATGAGGCTTTCAGAACCAATTTTGAGATGACTAACTAAAAATAGTTTATTCTGCAAGCTTCAGTGCCATTTCAGATTTGAACAGGAGTCCTTTGTGTCCAGCTGGTATAAGCAGATCTCTCTCCATACATTTCTTGTCCACTTACACCATCGCTAAGCCTGGTTGGTCCCCTGGTTTCAAGCTTTTTGTGTCTTTCTTACTAAAGCCTCCTGATATCTAATAGATGTGATTATGA